AAAATAAAAACTAGAAGAAATTTTCTTTCAATCGTCCTAGATCCATTTTCGGCCGAGATATTTAGTTTAAAAATGATGTATCAGTTTTTTTCGCAAAAAAAATGAGTTAAAAATTAAAAGCACGTATACAGATGCATCAAAATTACTCTTTGCATTCATCTTCGCATGTGTGTTTCATTTTGGCAAGTTTTGGGTGCATTAAAATATTGATTAGTTTCTGAAAACGAATAATAGTAAAATATTCTTATATATCTAGAAAACTAAACAGTTCCAAAAAAAAAGTCATAATTTCAATAATTATGACTTGGAAAAAATTATATCCAATTGAAGTCAGTTGTATTGAAACTAATTAGTTTAGTAAAACTGTAATATTTAATTTCTCTCCTTATTAAAAAAAACAAATAATAAAAAATTCTTATTTTTAAATTATAAGTTTTAGTTTTAAGCTAGTTTTAACTTTTAAAAAAAGCTTGGCTATCAACGATACTGTTAAATTATTACGTAATCAGGCCCTGAATAAAGGTAAAACATATTGTAAATGGCACCACAGCTCATCTCTAACGTCTTGGTTTAAGAATACAAAGCTTTCTCGTGACATCATAGTCACGATATGCCGAAGCCGCAGTGGACACATAAATTTAAATGAATCCCTTGCCAAAATTAAGGTTAAAACCAACCAATTTGCGAATGTGGACACGTAGCGCAAGACTTAAATCATGTTCTATGGTAGTGTACTCTACATGATGTTAATAGAAATATAATGTTAAACGCGCTCAGGAAAGCCAAAGAATTTCCACCCTATGATGTAAAAAACTACCTTAGCAAACCAAATGTAAAAATTATGAAAATAATATGTAACTTCCTTAGCTTATGTAAAATTAATCTGTAACAATGAACGTAACATTTTGTTTTGAACCGAGTAACTGATATAACTTAACCGAACTTGATGTAAATATCAACAAAGTATGTATATTTTTTTGTAGCTAAATAACTCTAATAGTTAATAAAGCCTTATTAAAAAAAAAGTTTTAGTTTTCCCTCCAATATCTTTTACTACTCGATAACTATCATTAATAGTATGTCATAGAAATTGAAATCTAATTAATTCGATGGAAACTATGACTACAAGATATGAATAAAAATGTGTTCTTTCGGGTGAAGGACACTTCGATTCTCCATATTGAATGGATTAAATAAATCAAACCAAAGCTTAAAACACTTCAAATTACCAATCTTTCTTCAACAGCAAAATTTATTTACAAGTGTTTAAAAAAAATGATTTTGAAGCTAGCCTAAAAAAATTGATTAAGGTTTTCTGTTCTATATTTAAAAAAAAAATCGTAATTACTGTGAGGATCTCTCCATAGTTCAACTCGTATAATTAAGTAGGCTCAAATTTTCAGCAAGTATGGAAATGCAAATTTTCACAAAATGAAAGAAATGTTGCAAGAAATTCGATATTTTTTTCTGAGGTATATACATATTTTCTAATAGTTTATATATACAAAAATAAATATATATCGAAAATTTCTTTTCACAATAGTGGTACAGCTAAGGAAGCAGACTCAGAAATTAACAGCGAAATAGATGATTAAAGGAGTGTATATATTATTAATAAACATCAATATATATATATATATATATATATATATATATGATTTCTTAACTTTGAGGGGGCCATATTATGGTGACCTTTTTATGACCTTGAAGGCCATTTTTAAGGTCATTTCAAGGTTAAATTCATTTTTTTAAATGGCAACCCCTATTTTTGACAGCGGATTCACAAAGAGCGGTAAATTTTACGTCCAAAACGGTATTTCAAAATTTGTTTCATGACCTTGAGAAGGTCTATTTAAGGTCAATTACTTGATAGACTGGCTACGGGTGATTTTATTAATATTTAAGATATCGGAAAATGACCTCTACAAAATTTGTACATAATAGAGTCGGGCCCCTGAGGGTCTCAACAACTTTGACCTTGAACTTTATCTACAAGGTCATTTCAAAGTCAAAGTGTTTTTTTAATGGAGACCCCTATTTTTGACATTGAATTTGAAAAAAGCGAAAAGTTTTAAATGTAAACTCACATTTTAAACTTTTTAAAATTACCTTTAGAAGATCAAATCAAGGGTAAATACTGAAAATTCGCTAAAAATCGTTTACTTTAAGCTTTTAAAGTTTATGAACGAGTAAATATCAAGATGAACTCGTGAACCAATGACCTTGAGTATTTTGCTCTTGAATGCAGTTTTCAAGATTATTTTAAGATCAAAGTAATATTTTTTATGGCAACGCCTATCTCTGACACCGGATTACCACGATTGGAAACAATAATAATTTTTAGGCTCTAAATAACTAAATTATTATTTTTAAATTGTAACAAAATAACGTAAAATTGAACATGAAATAATTGTCAAAAAATAATGATCTATGGCTATTAATTAATATTACTAAACTAACATTTTAAAATTATAAATTTGACTCGAGTGTAGTTCAATGTGTTTACGACGGTACGTGTTTATTTTCACTGTCAGTGCTTTTCGTTAATAATAATTTTTACTCAATCAACTGTCAAGAATTGAGTTGGCATCCCTTATTAGAAAATTTGCTATGTTATGTGCGCTTCATGCAATCTTTCTTAGGAAGCATGATTCTTTCGGCGTGTCTTAGTTTCTACGATACTATTTTGTTCCTCATTATTAAAATAATATGACTTCCGCAAGTTTTTGAATTTGCGATATTTTGAAAAAATATGGCAAATTATTCAGCAAATGAATGCGTTGAAATACTACTGATTCTTGGAGAATGCCGTCGTTATTATACTACTGCTGCTCGGCTGTATGTCGAACGTTTTCCCAACCAGCGTCATCCGAGCGATGTGCAAATAAAAAATATTGAAAGACGCTGTCGTACAAATGAGCTACATCGATAGAGACGTAGACAAAGAAATTTAAATAGTAATGATGGAAGACTTATTACCGTATTGGCTATGGTTCATTTAAACCCTCATATAAGTACAAGAACATTTGAACGTCAAATCGGAATTCCTCATTCTACAGCTCATCGTATGTTAAGCGTTACCACCCATATCATATTACACTGCATCAGGAGTTGAATGAAAATGACTATTTACTCAGAATGGATTTCTGTAGATGGGCGCTCAATCAACTAAATGAGGATCCAGATTTTTTTTGGAATGTTTGTTTTGGTGATGAGGCTACCTTTAAAAGTGATGGTACCCTTAATAGACATAATTTTCACTACTGGTCTCCTGTTAATCCTCATTGGCATCGTGAAGTAATTAATCAACATCGCTGGAACGTTAATGTTTGGGTCGGAATCTGTAATGGACAGATCGTTGGCCCGCATTTTTTTAATGGCACTGTCAACGCTAATAGATATATCGACTTTCTGGAAAATGATCTACCTGGATATTTGGAAAACATTCCGCTGAATGTTCGACAGCAAATGTGGTGGCTACAAAATGGTGCTCTAGCTCATTTTGAAAGAAACGTTTTGATCGTCCACTCTCTGCTGCAGGGCTGCACCAACCGCCGTGTCCGAGGCGTCGCACACTAAGGCTAGCCGAGCACCAATTTTTGGATGCGCAAGAAGCGTGGCTCTCTCGAGATCGGCCTTGGTCTTCTCAAAGGCCTTTGTTGCCGCGTCGGTCCATGTAATGGGCTGGTTTCCCTTGATGTTTCCCTTCAGCAGTTCGTTCATCGGCGCCTGCGTCTCCGCTGCGTTCGGCAGTAGGCCGCGGTAAAAGTTGACCGTACCTAGAAAACGTCTCAGCTGCTTTGCCGTCTGCGGCTGTGTATACCTGCTGATCGCCTCGGTTTTCCGGGTCGTTGGTCTGATGCCTCCGCTCGTCACCACGTAGCTGAGGAACTCGACTTCTGGCTCGCCGAATACGCATTTCGCCGGGTTAATGACGATTCCGTACTGCTGAAGCCGCTGGAACAGCTGCCGCAGGTGGGCGTGATGCTGCTCCTCGTTGTCGGACGCCACGAGTATGTCGTCGATGTATGCGTAGCAAAAACTCAGCTCTCGCAACATCTCATCGACGAATCGTTGGAACGTCTGGGCCGCGTTTCGCAAACCAAAACTCATGAATGGGAATTCAAAGAGTCCGAATGGCGTGGTGATTGCGGTCTTTGCTATGTCCCTCTCGGCGACTGGTATCTGGTTGTACGCCCGGACTAAGTCGATCTTGGAAAAGATCTTCTTACCTCGGAGCGATTGAGCAAAATCCCGGATATGTGGTACCGGATAGCAGTCCGGCACCGTGCGTGCGTTGAGGCCGCGGTAATCACCGCACGGGCGTTGGTCGTCTTCCCCTTTCGGCGCCATATGGAGTGGTGCTGCCCAACTGCCGTTTCCGCGTCGAGCCGTACCAAGCTGCACCATTATGTCGAATTTTTGGCGCGCCCTCTGTAGGCGTCCGGGGGATAGTCTTCGGGGCCTGCATGTTACTGGTGGTCCTGGCGTCGTCTCAATGTAGTGGCGCATGGTGTGCTTGGTCACCGGCGCTCTGCCGTCAGGTCGAGTGATTTCTGGATACTTGGCTAACAACTGGTGATAGCTCGAAGTGCCGGTAATCACTTTGACGCTGGGGCACTCGTCTGCACGCAGTTGTCCGCGCGCAGAGGCCTGTGTCTCCCGATCGATCAGCTGGCCACCGTGTAGATCGACGAGTAGCCCGTAGTGTGCCAAAAAATCAGCGCCGATAATGGCCTTCGGGACATCAGCGATCACGAACTTCCACACGAGCGAGCGCCTTAATCCGAGGTTGAGCGCTAGTGTGGTGGTGCCGTACGTGTAAATGGGCGTTCCATTTGCAGTAGCTAGTTCGTACGGCGTCTTCCGGAGTGGACTGCGGATAGCCGAGTGCGGATAGACGCACAAGTCAACACCTGTATCTATCAGGTATCTGACCTGGCTCTCTCGATCTGTGATGAAGAAGCGGCGTGTCGTTGGACTGGGACCGCTCGCCGCCATTAGCGCCGGTCCGTCCCGTTTCCCGCGAACGTACAGGGATGTCGGCATCGTGTTGCGTCGGCACCGAACCTTTGACGGTACCAGCAGTGGTCTGGATTCCCTGTCCTTCCGCGTGACTGGGATCGGCCTCGAGGTGTAGCTCGTCCTCTGCTCTGCGACCTCGAACGGTGCGCGCGTTCTGCAAGGAGGCTGCGGCGCACCTCGGCGATCTCTTGGCGCATCTCCGCATTCATTGAGCACACTTGCATGAACATAGTCTCTAAAGATGACGGCTGTGCCGGTGTTGGTAGAGACGCGGGAGCGACCGCCGTTACCTGAGGAGTGATGAACGGCTGTGTCGCGCGTACCGTCACCATGATAGCGTCAGCGAGCACGGCGGTCTCGTCCAGCGGTTTGTTGGGCTGGGCCGCCAATATCGCCTGCACGTGGGCTGGTAAGTGGCTCAGACACAACGTTTTGACGACGTTGTCGCCCTCGTTGCCCGCGAGATCTCATAAATGCCGAAGAAATTGAGAGGGTTTTCGATCGCCTAATACCTGTGTTTCCAGGAGCTTCCTCGTCTTCTCCTCCTGAGAGACGTTTAGCCGCTTGAGAAATTCGACCTTCGTCTTGGTGTACGGTTCCCCGGCTGGTAGTGTGGCGATAAGATCCCTGATCTCCGACGCGTACCTCATGTCCAAGTTGCTGCATAAATGGCTGTACTTCGTTGCTTCCGTCGTTATTCCGGAGGCATCGAAGTTCCTTTCCAGCACGTTGAACCACAGCTCGGGGTCCGCTGACAGAAAGGGTGGTACCCGAAATGCGACGCGGGCAATGGATGGTGCTGTCTCATTGGTCGCTGCAGTTGTTGCGAGAGTTGACTGGCCCGTCATCTTCCTTGCTTCAGGATAAGCTGCTGGTTGGACACTGAACACGGTTTTTTTTTTTTTTCACTCGCGTTTATTCGTCTCCCCAGTTTGATACTCTGGTGTGTAGAAACACGTTGCTTTACACTACCAGATCACGTCGGGGTCACCAATTTGGGGGGGGGGGGCTGGCGTTTGGCGTAAGGAGAGATGATTGATGTTCTGGTGCGAAGGTTGGAATGACTTATTGTGACCCACTGGTACTGTGTAAATATTACTTTAATGTTGAGTTACAGAAATGAGTGTACTATACGCAGAATAACTCTACAGAGTAACGCGAGGTAAGCGCACGCGTACAAAGTGAGTGAGGCGAGGAGTTGGCGCGATGCTCACTCGTCGAGGCGTCGCGTCCTTCTGCTCATTCCCGGGGTTGCACGGATGCACCACCTAGCCAGGCTTTTGCTTCCCACTCTCTCCGAGAACACCCAATGCTTTTATTCATCGGAGAGGGAAAAGAGAAAGCGGAAATCTGGTGGCCAACAAAAAATGCGCGCGTGGGCCTGCTATAAAAAAAAAACCCAGCCGAAAAAGTTCGGCTGTTTGCACTACGTGCTCCATGAGCTGATCGCTTGTCGGACACCATAAATAATAAATCGTAAATCAACTGAGAAGTTGACTTACGATTTATCGGAAAAACTGAGAGAAGGGTTGAGGAACATGTGCGGTGCAGATTTTGGAAATGTCTGCGACCCCACATCTGTATATGTGCTTTTGAGTTTTGAGAAAAAAACTGATACTTCATTTTCAAACTGAATATCTCGGCTTGAAATGGATCTAGAACGATTGTAAAAAAAGAAAAATGTAGGTTTTTTTATAATTTTTATTTTTATATTAATTTTTTACTTTTCTTTATTCGAGGAAGAAAACCGATCGAAATAGTAAAATTTTTCGAAAAAAGTTCATTTTTCTCGCGTTTTCAAACGACTTAGCACTGACTATGCATGATTCGGGAATAATTTTTTCTCAAAGTAAATTAAAAAAACTGCAAAATGAAACAAGAATGATCTCGGTATCTCTTTTCAACCGCGACGTTTTTGATTTTGAAAACTTTTGATTTACAAATCGTATATAGTACGGCGCGTTATTATATATATTTTTTACCTTTACAGAAAGAGGTTTCAAGATAATAATTTTTCTGATAATATTTTTATGAAGCATTATTTGTGATGAATAATAATTTTTATAATACATGTGTAGATACTAGATTCGAACTGGACTAGAGCATCTATTCGGGATATACGTCTATACATTCACTCGCTCCTGGTCATGGAGAAAATGTTTGTAATGTTTTACTAGCACTAGATCATTTAACTGGCGCTGATTATACTAGCAAAGTAGGAACGAAATTGAAAGCGCTTATAAGTCAGCCTGACATTTTTCTATCAAATTTCGGTCGAGGTAAAAACATTGAGTTATTATTATAACAGCTCTCTAAAGTTGAATTATTGTAGGAAAAGAGAAATATTATACTATTCCATTTAGTTTTAAATTATTCGAATGAAGGTATAGCTGATTGTTTGAAAAATTCCGAAGAATATTTATGTTCGATTGTGAGTCAAGTAGCTAACAAGAAAACATTTGATGAGTTGAGGTGCTGGTCCTACTATTGAGCTCCGACTAAACATTGTTTAGTCGAAAATTTACTTCCCACGTTAAATTCTATCAAACTGCATATATTCAGAGCGTTTTACGTTAAATATACTCAATTTAATTGTTTAAATAGTCATAAAACTGTATTAGACCCTCTACTATTTGGTTATGTCAAATACCTTCTTTTACCGAAAAAATAAAAATACTAATTTCACCGACAAACGCATTGGTATCAGCATGCTAATACAAAGTTTGCAGTAGAGAGTCGTGTATATACGTTGCCAATAAGATCCCTTGTTGTATTATCTGTAGCTGTAAGAAAGAAAAAACATGTAAAAATAAGTACAATATTTATGAGCCACCAAGCGAGCTACTATGTGAAAATGAACATTGAAGCCATTTGAAGAGTATTCATTTTTTTAAATAATGTAAATAAAATTGCAGAGTTCTGTCGCATAATTGATTACTAATTAATTAATTATTATTATTACTTTATCATATTAATTGATACATGACCTTTGAAATTATAAAAATAAATTGCCAACAAATAGTAAGGGAATTTTACTCACGACTCCAAGCGTGGCCATACTAAGACGAGGTATCAAGCCACGCTGCGCTGTCAAAAACCACAAGTGTACAACGCTTATCATGCAAAAACCAATTGCTTAAGAAAAGTAAAGTTTGTTTTAAGTTTATAGTATAGATGTAAATCAAACTTTGAGCGCATCTAAATTAAAAAAAAATTCACTTGCTATTTCGTGACAGCGTCCAAAAACCAAAAAATCGTATTTTTCAAAACTTTGAAAATTTTTTTTTCTCGGAAACTAAGCGTCGGTATAAAACACTTGTAGAGACATTTTTTATTTAAAATCTGCTTTGTTATATGAAATCAATTTTTTTGCGAAAAATTGAATTTTACTATTAATTGAAGGGCTCCATGCAATAAGGGGACCTCCGCTCGAAACCAGCAAAACGTGACGTCTTCGTTACCAAATTATCAAAGTTGTTTAACCGAATTTTAAAAAATACTAGCTTATAGCAAATGAAAAAACACAACTTTTATCCATTTACAGTATTTTGATAAAAGTTATACTTTTTGAGATAAAAATTCAAAACCTAAAATTTCTCAAACTCATTTTTAATAGATTTTCAAAACATAAACTGCTCTAACTTCGTCAATTATCATCGAATTTTCACGAAACTTGGTACAAATGACTATTATATGCTAGCGCTGGACACGGTTTCATAATTGTGTCTAAATTTATTTATTTAACATTAAAATTAATTACCAATCAATACAAATTCATTATTACATTTTTTTTACTTAGGCGAAAAAAAGTATGCGGGGATGTTTTAGCAACGAAAAACTTCCAGTGAGACAATTGTTCCCTAATACTTGATAAAGTTTTGTAAAAAGTTCAGATCGATTCGTAAATAATTCGTCGAAATAGAACAATTTTACGGATATGTTGCATCCGCCGCTCGCGCCAAACACCACGTGCACTTCGACTGCCGTAAGAAAAATCCGATTGCTATAAATTGAAAGATCTTTGTCTAATGAGAATACAGTTTTTATCAGGATTTTTTAATATGTATATAAAAAGTGTATTGTGAAACTAAAAACGACTACTGTATTGGAATGCTTACGTTCACTTATTTATGATATTCGATATAGACAAAAGTATGTTTGATCGATAGTAAACACAACAATGGAAAGTGAACAAAAAACGTTGATGATAAGGTTAAAAAATACCTCGCAAAATATAGAAAAATCTGCTGTATTATCACGGCTTAACGTTGCTTGTGCTTATTATATAATAACTGGAGTACTCAAAATAATTAAAAATGCCAAACGTTGTGTCTGCAAGTGGTCGCAAAAAGTTGAAAAATGAAAAAGCTTGGAAGAGGAATCTATCGAAAATGTGTAGAAATGAGGTAAATAAATATCTCTGGTTATTTCATGTATAAACGACAAACGATTATATAAAAAGCAAACAATAGCGTTTTATGAATTTGGAGTGTTAGTCCAATCAACAGAGACAAAAAAAGCCTGTTTCAGACAAAAATTCCGGGATGGGTTTTCTTGACGAAAATCGCTTCAGTACAATATAAATAGGAACTCTTGATAAAATACAACTCCTAATTTATTGTCAGATTTTTTTTATGAGCGCTCAAAGTTGGCGAATAAGGTTTTTTCAATCTGCAAGCCACGGTATGCATTTTAGCTGAAAAAGTTTTGTATAAAAGTTGTAGGCAATAGCAAAAGCTACAATTTGAGCTGTCATGCAATTTTTTTCGTTTGTTAGTTATTGAAAAAAGCCCCAAAAACCCTTAAAAATGGCCATTTTTACTATATCGAATATTTATTGCAAAAAGAACTTTTTTTAATGTTTATGACTCTTAAAAGAAAGCTCTTGTGATTCTAAAAAAAATGAATCGTCGCACGACTATTTATTTTTATTAGTTACTGATATATTCTAATTAGTTAATTAAGAGACGTCCAAAGATACGGGGCTGTAAATTTTTTTTGGCCGAAGATATCGAGTTGTAAAACAACTCAATCTCTTTGTCAAAACGTCAATTTTAATAAATGATTGGGAACGAATCAAAAAATTAATTTGCAACCCCTAAATTTTGACTTTAAAAAAGTGCGCCTTTTTTCTTTTATAAACAATTAGAATTGCGGCTTCCCTATGCATTATAGAGATTTCTTTTTTAGAAATTCACATATCTGAGATCAAGGTGCATATTTTGAAAAAAAAAAATTGTTTTTCGACCAATAGGAGCCGAGATAATTTTTTTTTTTGTTTAAATCGCCATTGTTGTAATAATGAAAATTAACAAATCGGTCCAAGGGCATTCGATCGTTATTAAGTTATATTTTCTCATTACGATACAAGGCTTTACATATTTTGGCTTTCTAACAATTAAAATGACGTTTCATTTCCAGCACGACAAAAGCCAAAGGCCGGAGGCGGTGGTGGGGGGCCTCCCTCGCGCGCTTGGAAATACTGAAAGTCCGCGTTCAAATCGACGCGCTTCGCAAAAATCAGGCTTATCTCGCGAACTATTGCATCAAATTCGATCATTTTTTTTTTAATTTGGGGTAGCTTCAAAATATATTGAGATTGGTGTAGTTGTAATTACTATATTTAGTGCCAATCGTTTATTATTAACTTAATTGAATTCATGCATATCCGTGTATGTATAAATTCCAATTAATTATTACTTGCTATCCGTAAATATGGATAAGGATAAATAATAATCAATATATTTTCAATTATTAATAACAATATTTTAATTTATATGCATACGTAGGCTATAGTTTACATGATTTCTTATTTTCTAATCGTGCCTAGTTCTTTTCGGCGCAGACT